TCAACTCGCCATCCCAATTCCTTCTATAATGTAAATATATATATATATAATGTTATACCCTAGAAGTCCAAAGACTATATTTTGACTCCCAGGGTAGAAGTCTTTGACTCCCAGGGTATATATATAATATTATATATTTTGACTCCCAAAGCTCGGCTTCTCTGAACAAACAGACATCAAACATCTGTGCCGCGACCGATCACCGAGCGAGCGAGGTGTGCCAGCTACTGAGGCCGAGAAGGAGCGAGTGAATCACATCCGAGATGCTTCGTGTTGGCACGAATGGTATCGAAGATAAGGTCAAGGTCTTCCAATTGATCCTTGGTCTTCCACCATGCAAATGCCCTGTCTCGATATCTGTCCCAACTTCCAGGATATCGCCTGTTACATCATTTATTACCTTCCGGACAACCAACTGGGTCATCATGGCGAGTATGGCATCTGGATGGCATCTGGTCACCCAAGAGAGCCGGTCACCGGGCGGTCACCGAGCGATTCGTTTGGGCACCGGGTCCGGACCGCGTAACTCGGTGGAGGTTAGTCCGGACCCCTGCGTTTCGCGCAAGGATTCTGAGGGACAGGGAAAATAGAAGAAACCACCCTGGAACGTTCGGACGCTACGATCGGGGCTCCTGGCCTTACTACGAGGAACAAGGACGCTACGATCGCACCCTCAGCACATCCAGGCCGTTTTACCCAACACATCGCCGGCGCAGAACTGAGAGACGTGGGGCCGAATCCAAGAAGACGTTGCAGTTGCTGTGCCTGTGACGCGTGACAGGTCGATAGAAGTAGGAAAAGGAGAGACCAGGGGCAGGGCCATGGGCTTCCAAATATTGTCCTCTACCTGGCGCTTCCATTTTGGGTGTCCTGTCTGGTGACCTATAAGCAGTGAAGGGTTGTCCAGCCAGGTAACCCCGACCGGAAGCAGCTGGTATATGTATGTGAATTTTGAGAGGGAGCTGTAGGTGTCCACATGTGTGAAAGTCCCCATTCTTCCACTCAATGCCAGAGGAAAAGCAGTCAGTACTTCCTCCGGCCAGTATCTCACAAAGATCGCCGGCTTCATGTTGATACGGTGCTATCCGACAACACCTCCATCAGCACTAGACTAGGCTCATTTCAAAACATTCCGCGTTCAGCCTGGAAATGAGAAGCTTGATGAGGCGGCACAGACTGCCAGCACCTGTCGGGAAATGCTCAAAGTTCTTCAACAAGACTGTCTAGATTTCCTGAATCATGGCATCCCGACATGGTTGGCTCCACAAACATGCACTTGTTGCACTATATGAGCTGTGTGTATAAACCCATCGTCAGTGCCTCCTTTGTGGTGGCACAGGAACATGCCAAAGACGTTGCTGGGTTGAAAGTGGCGCCAAATGGAGTAACCTCAGGCACGGCAAATGAGGGAGAAAGCAAAAAAATTGCCCTCCAAGATGAACTCAGTGACTGTCGCATGAAAGCAAAACGGATCTGAAGCTGCGGCGCTAGTTCATTCGCCGAACCTTTTCCCAGACTGGTTCGGAACGCCACGCTGAAAGCCTCAACGCGCCCGTGAAAGGCGCAGACTGTAGCTTGCTGGGGAAGGAACAGATGGCTCCAATGCCTGCTAGGAAGGGCCCCAGCACCGCCACACAGAGGAGCCATCCCAGGATTTCGGTGCTGTTCGCCTGGGGTCGGCCCGTTGGGGTCTGCTCCCGGTCTGCTGCCGCCCGAGGCCGAAGACAGCTTAGGAGAGCTTGGGGGAGTTCGGTCCTGAAAATGTCCATGCCAAGTGCTTCATGTGGAGCCAGGGTTTGTGGGGTGATGGTGGAGTATGCTGGCGCTGCCAGATTCAACAGAATCGCGTGCAAGGCCAGCAATGAAACCAGTTGCAGCCTCCCCCCCTTCTTTACTCTGTGAGCAAACCTGGGGAGAATCTTCAAATGAGGCAGCAAACATTTCCACGCTACAACTGTTGCTCACGCAGGGAACAGCATCTTGTAGACCTAGGAGTTCCAGCATCTGCGAGGGTTCCCCAAATTCCAGTGTTGCTGCAAGCCATGTCTGGCCACCTCTACGAATCCATTTGCTTAAAAAAAGGTCATCCTTAAGCTTCGGTGGTCAAAAGGAGCACCTCATCAATCTACTACCTACCAACAAATCATCCAGTAGTTCAGGTTTAAGAAAAACATAAACAAAGAAAGAAACCCAGACGCTCCATGTATGCCATATATGCCTACATTGACCCCCCCAAACCACCCCAACTTATCGGCATATATTCCATACATGGAGCGTCTGGGAAAGAAAGAAAAGATAAAGACATAAAAAAGAAAGGAAACCAAAAAAAATGTAAAACCAAAATCGTCGCCTCATCAATCTCCAGCAATGGGGCGGCACCCAAGAGCACCACCTGAAGCAACGAGGTCATCACCAGGTCTGCATAGTTGGCCTGGCTCAAAGCGACAGGGCGAGCCGGCGAGGTGGAAAGTAGCTATATATATATAATATATATATAATGTCATATATATATATATTCATATATCATGTGCTATATTATAGTCAGATAGATTCCCAAATAGATAGAAACGGTGTCCAATACATGTCTAGAGGGGATTCAAAGATGCACGACTGTATTCAAGTTCTATCTGTTCAGCAAAGAAGGCTTCTACAGAGGTGCCTACTTCTTGTGCCTTGCGTTGAAATTGGCACATGTACCCCAAAAGCGAGTACAGGAGATCAAACGGGAGTGTCTTTCTCGAAAAGACTGGCGCGGAATGTACCCAAAAGGTCTGTTATACAACGCCGTCGACGAAGCAATGCTTCGTTAAATCGCCTGTTTGAAAAATCCGCTCAACATCCGCAAAGCTTGAACTTTATTGGAACATCCTAGCATCGCGCGACCCGCGTCCAACTAGTTACAACTGCTGCATCATATTTCTGGCAGTATTCTAGACTCTTGATTGGTCACACCCCCATGGGGATTCTAAAACCTCTGCCGACCGGCCGAGGTCGACCGGAGAAACCGAGGTCTCGCCTGCTCCGTACGCCAGGGCCACACACGCACTTGCAGCGCACCACCACACACGAAGAGGGCACCCATCAAAACCACCTGGCACGAGTCGCGAGTCGCGAGCGAGTTCGCAGCCCTTCGCCCATTCGCAAGTTCGATAAGAGAGAAGACAGACGGACATCCGCGCTGACTTGGTGGACTGGGCGGTGGACTCTGAAGAGATTTCGGACCACCTTTTTATCCTTCCGAAGTGGCTCCGCCTAAAAGCGCACGTCGCGTGCGTCTGCATCGCGCTTGCCCCGCCTGAACCTCTGGAACCGCCACGAAGAGCACCGGGAAGAGAGCCACGAAGGCA